TCCCTTCCAGCAGGTGCCTGGATTAAACCGAAGTGCTCATGTCTCTCTAGCGTCATGGCACACGTTAGTGGGAGCCGCTTCCATGGCCAGGCAGAGTGCGGCAGCAGTAGGCTTTGCAGAGGCAGCCATGGCTCACGGAGATGATGAAGACGTTTGCTCCAGAGCAGTCCTGAAGAGGGCGTGCAGCGTAGGACATGGAGCAGCGATCTCGGGTCCAGCAACCCCAGCTCCGTCACTTACCAACTGTGTTACCTGGGACAGCAACGACCCTGGGCAAGCCCCTGCCTCTGTCCCTGTCACATGGAGGTGATCGCTCCTCCATTGTACAGGGAGGGTTAGCTTCAATACCGAAATAGTCTCATAGCTAAAGCCTCAGAGATCCCCTCCCACGTTCCAGGCTCTGTGCTAAGGAGTTTACGGTGACTCTAAGAGGAAGATCTGACTGTCCGCTCATTTTCCAGATGAGGAAACTGAGACACAGTGTGGTTAAATGAAACCAGGCCAGGATCTGGCCCACCACCCCTCCCCAGGCCAGCTCCTTGCTAGCCTCACTGAACCCCCAGTCTCCTCCCAATCCAGTCCCTGGGTGCCTGTGGCCACACAGCACATGGCAGCCATTGTTCAAAGCCAGGAACCTGAGCTGGGAAGCCTGGCTGCGCAGCTTTTCACAGTGCCTTGCAAATGCAGGGGCCTCGCTGGAGGCAGAAGAAAAGCCCTCTTTGAGGTGGTGTTCAGTGTGGCCTGCGGCTCTGGGTCTTGCATTCCATGGATTTTTGGCCCCTGACTTGGGCTTGGCAGCCACTGCCTCATTGTTCTGCAACTTGGCTTGAGCCGCGGGATCCCAGGGACGGGCAGTCCCTAGTGTTACCCAGAGGTGCCTGCACGCATGTGCTAAGGGTCTTTTCCCTGCTCCCCGGGGCTCGTCCTTCCACAGCCCCTTTTGCCTTGGGCTTTCTGCATCTGAACCCCCTAAGGAACAGTTTCTGGCAGGAATTTCTGGAGCAAGGGGCTCAAGTTTCTGTTGCGGTGTGGACCAATAGAACAAAATGGCCTAAAATCCAGTACTCATGGAGAGCCTCAAGAGGCAGTGGATTCCTTGGAATGAAGAGGGGCTTTAGATTCACTGAGATCTGGGTTTGAATCCTTGCTCTGCAGCTTATTAGCCTAATGGCATCGAGCCTCTTCTCTCTGAGCCTCAGTTTCCCCATCTGTAAAATGGGTCTTACCCACAGCCCCGAGGGTGAATGGGAAAGATCTGGCCCACCTGAACCCTCATCCCTTCCTTCTCCCATCCCCCTTCCCCCCCGCCCCTCCCTGCCTCCTCCCCTTCTGCAGGGATCCTCTCCGGCACTGGGTGGGCAGGGGCTTGCAGAGTTCTTTGTGGCTGCTGCTTTCCTAGAACAAGGGCCCCTCCTCCCTGGAGGCTCCTGTGCAGCAGGTTCCATTAGGTTCTGGACAAAGCCGCTTGTAAGGACTGGGGTTTGGCAGCAAAGGCAGTGTAGACGGCGGTGCTGCATCAGCTCGGTGTAGTCAGGGGGGTCAAGTCTCTGGGGGCTCCTGCCCTGGGGACCCCGTGAGGAAAATGGGCCCTTGTGATCTGCCAGCCCTGAGACCACCCCTGGAGAGCAGCCACACAGGCCCCGTACTCCGGTGGAGAGAGAGGGCCCGTTCTGGGCAGAGCCAGCTAGAAAGGTGCCCGTGTTGCTTCGTAAGAACCTGTGAGGAGTGCGGCGCCGTAGTTTTGGATAAAGATGCAGTTGCCAGTTCAAGTCCTGGCTCCCCAACGTCTGTGATCCCTGGGAGCCGGGCAGATCTCTTCACCTCTTCGTGCGTTAGTTTTCTCATCTGTCAAGCGGGACCGTAATAGACCTTACTTCACGGTGTTGTTGACAAAACAAGGTGAGCTAACAGAGATGAAGAGCGTAGGGCAGGACCCAGCATCATCAGGGCCCGCAGTCGTTGGCTCTTCTCCCCGGTTCCCCGTGCACTGCTCCTGGAGCCCTGCCTTCGCGAGGCCACAGGTGAGCTCCTGAGAGTGTTCAGACGTTGCCTGTGGCTGCAGCTGTTGGAAAATGCAGTCGGCGCCCCGTGGGGAGGGTGGGGGGTGGCATTTCCTAGCACCTGCTAGGCTTCTCCCCAGCGGGATTTGCCCAAGGTTATGTGCACGTAACCTCAGACCCAGCTGGTGAGTGACAGGGTCGAGATTCCACTGCCACGGTTTCCGGTACGTGGGAGGCCCTGGGGCAGGTGGGCAGGTGGGCAGGTGGGCAGGTAAGCCGGTGTGTGCGTGGGTCTTGCAGGGGTGGTCTGTGGGCTGAGCCTGGTGCCTTCTGAGATAAAGAGGGAACCTTCTCACTGAAGACAGTTCTCCACCCTTTTTCTGGAGGTCTCCCTAAGGGCAGAGGACAGTGAACATGTCACCCTGAGGGGTCTGGGGGTGCAGCCGGAAGCAGCTGCAGGGCCTGCGGGAGGCTCAGTTTTATCTTCAAATTCATGCGCATTTCACATTCTGCTCCCTCTCATATTCCTCCCTGAGAAACAGAGACGCCTGGGGAAGGTGCTCCTTGTTTATCTGTTTATCCTGGGGCTCTTCATACCCTGGGTCTTCCACTGTGTCACCTGGGGATGACATCTGCGCTCCAGTGCAGAAACTCAGCCCAAATGGTGTAGACGCCGAGGGTGCTGTGGTCCCATCTGGATTTGAGGGCTTGGCGGGGAGAGCACGGAGCGCTAGGAGACCCAGGTGGGAGATGAGGCCTGTACTGAGGCAGGGGTGGGGAGGGGAGAGGCAGGTGCACCATAATGCCCCTCCACGTGACACTGATCTGATCTGACAGTGCTCCGTGTGCTCAGAGTAAAGTGACAGCCGGAGACCTACCAGTTGATCTGTCCACACTGGGACGCGCCACATCAAACGGCTGAGTGTGCGGGTCAAAGTTTGTTGAGTTTCTGCAGCTTCCCGGGCAAGAGACTGCACGGGCCAGGCATGGCAGGACGTGGGCCAGCGAGGGCCCCCGTGACCCTGAGTTGGGCGTATTCTGTAGTCCCTATCATCCGCTTCCCTGCGGCCTCACATCCTGTCATCTGTCTTGAGAGAGCAGGCTTACCCCAGAACAGCCTGTGGAAGGTGTGGGGCAGGGAGGGGAGCTGGGCTGCCCTGAGGACACCCAGTGAGAACGGTGCTGGGAGCCAGCCTGCAGGTTCTGGGCAGGGCCAAGGTGCCTTTGAGGGAATGGCTTGGGGGGGCCAGGCTCAGCAGGTGAATTAGGGCTTGGTGGACATCATTTTGACACGTCAAAGGGTGTCACAGACATCCCTGGAGCCTGAGAGGCCTGGCTGGCCAAACACTGTAGCTGGAAACAGACAGCAGTGGGAAGGAAGGCAGAGTGACTTGCAGCCTGAGACACAGAGGCTGGACCTCTAGGCGCTGGCTGTGACAGCCCAGGGGGTGTTGATGCCTTTCCCTCCACCCGGAATAGCCCCATGTTGATGGGGGCATGGGTCTGCCTGGGAGGGAGCACGGAGCTGCTGGCCCAGCAGCAGGGCAAGGCGGGGCAGACTCTTGGTTTGGAATTTGACTGGGGCATAGGTGACCAGGTGAGACAGCAGGAGGCAGGGTCTGTGTGGAGATTGATGACATCTTCGGCTGGGTCCTTCAGAAGCGAAACCTGAGATGGGGGTACGTAGGCATGGGATTTATCAAGTGCCCCTGGGGGAACCACTCAGCGAGGGAGGGCGAGGCCAGGAGACAGACCAGGGGTCTCATCTCAGACAAAACCCGCTGACCACGCCAGGGTCTCTGGGGTGCAAGTCACAGCTCAGAGGGCTCTGACCTGAGACGGGCTGGCTTGCATGCTCACCCCTCAGCTGTTGAATCCGGGCTACCACAGGGGGGGGCCCTCCATTCCTCCAGACTTCTGGCTCTCCAGGGGTCCCGAGGAGCTGCTCCAGGAGCCTAGGCCGGGCCTCAAGGGGTTCTGCCTAGGATGTGGTCACACGAGTGGTACCCTCAGGACATCTAGGGCTTGTCTGGGAGGAGCAGCGGCCAAGAACGGGGGTCCCACCACTTGCGCGATCCAGTGCCTTCCACGTGTGCCATGTGGGAGCCCTGGCCCACAGGAGGTGCTGCAGAAATGCTTGTGGGTGAGCGCAAGTCTCCTACTGGGAAGGAGGAGGGTTTTCCCTCTGGCATCAGGAAGGGTCCCGGTGGTTGAGTCACACAGCTTCTGTGCACGTAGCCTCAGATTCTGCCCCAGAAGGATTTGTCTGATGGGAGAGGCCAGAGGCTAAAATATTAGGGGAGTTGCTCAGATGGCCTTGAGCTCAGGCCTGGGCACGTATTCGTTGCTTAACCGGGGACCTGTGGCTGCTGTGACTACCTGTGACCAGCATCCCTGGCTCTCGAGCCCTGGAGGCTGAGGCCGGCTGTCGCTTTGCACAGAGGTCTGACTAGGACGGCAATCAGGACCTCTTGGCCCTGGCCTTCCCTGTGTCACATGTGCGGTGCACCCGGGCCCAGGCGAGACAAGGACGTGGGCTCCTTCCCACAGCAGCTGCTCACGGGCCTTTGCCTTCTGAGCATCCAGGCTGGCAGCGTGGGTATACGTGGGCGTGATGATGGGGGATAGGGGTACAGAATTGCTCCCCAAGAAGCAGGGGCAGTGCTGGGGAAAGAACACGGCTTGAGACTCCAGCCGATGTGGGGTCGAATCTGGCACCTTCCTTTCTGGCCTTCGGGGCTGCTGATAGACGTTTCCCCGCCTGGAGCCTCTTTCCAGCGGAGAGAATCCTAGTGACTTAGGACAGTAAAACAGAGGGAGACTGTGTCACCTGGGGGTGTCAAGTTGTAGCCCTGCCATCTCAGAGCTCGGTGACCATGGGCAAGTTACTGAACAGCTTGGATCAGCTCACATGTCTGTAAAATGGAGTGAGCAAAAGTCCCTCCTCCTTCTGAGGGTCTCTCGAAGAGAAAGTGAACAGGCCCCTGTTTTCTGTTGCAGCCCGTGCCCTCGTGAGGCTGGCATGCAGGATGGCAGGACAGCCCGGCCACATGCCCCATGGAGGGAGTTCCAACAGCCTGTGCCACACCCTGGGGCCTGCACACCCTCCTGACCCACAGGTAAGCTCCTTATCGTCGTATGCAGCACACCGCAGAGTCCCCGAGGAATACAGGTCCCTGAGCCTCCTTTGTCCAGAACCCTTCTGGTGGAAACCCTTCAGCTCCCCTAAACGGAACCTCTTCTTGAATGCTTCCAGTGATGGTCAGCTCACTACCAAATCTAGTGAGCTTATCATTGAATTCAGTAATACTCGGAGAAGCCTCCTCTGCCAAATTCTGGGCTGGGACCCTGGACCCTGATCCTGCCCCTGGGGTGTTCCAAGTGGATGGAACAGCTTTATCTCGGATCAGCGTGGTTGAAAGGGTACAGAGAGTGCCGTGGAGGCCCCGAGGACAACGAGGGTCTTAAAGGAATGGGCTGACTGTACTTGGGGTGAGAAGATTCTTTCTTGCACTGAGCAACGCTGCCTCCCAGTGTTTCAGCCCCCTTCAGCCTCTTCTAGAACCAGCAGAATTTGGGAGAACACTGGCTTCCTAACGCCTGCCTTGCGCTCTCTGTAGATACTTTGGAGACCCAGGAAGCCTTCAGCAGCTTTTCTGAAGGTGACTTGCAGGTTTCTGAACTGCCTTGCACATCCCTTGCTGCCCAGGCCTGGCACACCTTCCCCGACACCCCTTCCAAGTCCGTGCAAATGCTGCTCCCTCTGGGGAGACATCCACTTCCACCCTGCCGTCTGCTCTGGGCTGACCCCACACCTGTGTCCATGCACTGGCCGCGATCTCATCCCACTGGGGCACTAGTTCCTGGGTCTGCCTCCCTTTCAACAAAGAGAGCTCCCCTGGAGCAGAGCATTGCTGATGGGGCCATCTCCGGCCGGGCACAGAGGGGTCCTGCATGCCCACTGAGTTGAGGAACTGCGGATGCGTGTGCTGTACCCACGCAGGATGGGACCGTGTGCAAGACACACTCAGGTCTGGGCAGCCCAGCACAGAGAGCGGGGTGGAAGTGGAGGTCTCCCCAGAGGGAGCAGCATTTGCACTGACTTGGAAGGGGAGTCAGGGAGAGTGTGCCAGGCCTGGACAGCATGGGGGCACAAGGCAGCTCAGCATGGGGGGCACAAGGCTTGTCTGGGCAGATTGACCAGAGCCACATCATGTAGGGTCCTGTGGCCAGTTTAGAATGATGGAAAGTTCCTATCTGGCGTTGGCTTTTTGTTCAAAGGATGTGAGACCTAAATTCCGGGGAGGCTCAGAGACAGCCACTCTCCTGAGCCATGGAGGAGCTTGGTCACAGCTTCTAATTGCCTAATCCCTGTTAGAGGATTTCAGATCGGCTGATGTTTGACCTCAGTGGCCAGGTCGCCATGTACAGTTGTACAGGTTATGCACTGCACAAAGCTGGATTAAGGAGGCAGGTAGGTCTGAAATCCTCCTGTGCTCGCATTCTCACCAAGCCATGCTCCCTGGTGGACGGCTGCATCAGCCCACGGGGAGCAGTGATGCTGCAGATTCACACAGAAGCGACACGTGACACACTAGTGGACACTGTGAGTTTGTGTGCGTATCTGGTGGTGGGGGGCGTGTTAGTGGGGGGGGTGCATATTGCATACACACAAGCATGCAGAGGGTCCGTGGAGCATCTGTGCTATTTGTACTCACGAAGTGGCCCATTTCCTAGGTAGAATGGGGAGGCAGATCCCAGAAAGCTAGGCAGCCCCAGGACACGGTGGGTCCAGAGTCTACCAGAACACGGTGCTGATGGCTGGGGGCAGCAGGGCCTCCTCGGGTAATGTAGCAATTTGTCATATTAAGTCATTCACTAACAATTGAGTCCCCCTTGATTAATCTCCCAGAATTAGCCAGTTGCATTTCGAGCAATTAGGGTTAATTACAGCCTCATTTGGCAGAGGAGAGGGCCTGTAATTATTTCACGAACAAGGCGGGGAAGCGGTGGGCTGCGGTGGCGACGTTCATGACGTCTCGTCGCACATGTTGGAGAGGGTAATGACATAGTTAAGTGTAATTAGACACGACGACTTGGAGCTGGGCTGCTCTGGGCAGCGGCTGTCGGGCAGCGATGCCCCCAGTCCCACCAGCATCTGTCTGGGTTTGCAGAGTGGGGGTGCGAAGCCACCGTGCGCCGCACCAGCTCCAGGTTGGGATGGGAATTGAGGACTTTCTCTTTGGCTCCTGAAGCCCTGGAGATTTAAACACCGTCTGGGAAGATATCCCAGACGCATCTCCCCTGTTTCAGGACAAAGAAACGCCTTGAACTGATGGCCCAAGCATTTTCCTTGATAGCAGGAGGCACTGCTGCTTCCCTGAAAACATCCTCAGAGGCAGGAGCCAGGCCAAAAATGCTTTGATGTGGGCCAGGCTGGTTCTGTACCCAGCTCTCCATCTCTCATTAGCCAGGCGAGACTGGGAAACGACCTCTCTGAGCCTCAGTTTCCTCATCTGTAAAATGGGATAATAATGCTGCCTCCCTCTCAAGGCAGCTGTGAAGACTGAGTGAGATCATTACTGTAAACATCCAACAGAGCTCCTTACATTGTGGCTGTTGAGGAAATGGTACATAATGGATCGTCTATTTTAAAAATCATTTTCGTTTTCATAGCTGAAGACCTAGCTGGATCATACCCCCAGTGTAGAAAGAAAGAAACTACAAACACTTGAACTGTGGTTTTTGTTAACCTTCTATGCCCAAGGCTAGTGGTTTGTTCATTCCAGGAAGCTTTCTAGCTCTGAGAGCCATCAGCCCCTGAAAAAATATTTGCTGAACACGGCAGAATCATATATGAAATTCACAGAGACTGAGGAAAGCTGAGCATGCTTGCTTTTATAGGTGTGTCTAATGAATGAATGAATGGAGTTGAGGAAAGCAGCTTAAAAGACCTCGTGCTTTTTAAATTTTACCAATTTGCTGTAGAGAGCTTTCATTGGGAATGGAGTATAAGCCTCAGCCGACACATTAAGAACCACATGAATTTCCAAAAAGGCGAAAGGTATTCTTGTCTGAGAATGCCCTGGCCAATATGTCTTCCATCTGGAAAGTCTTTGCAAACCCACTTGGGATGTGCCAAGTTCAGTTATATTTGGGCGCTCTTCCGAGAGAACTTTGAGGGGGATGGGGTCAGCTCTCTCTAGGTATGCATTGCACAGGCCAGAATCTTTATCAAAATCTTCCCAAAGCAATGATGCTAGTTGGATAAGGTTTAATGACCAAATAGGAATGGCTATTAAAATCCAGTTCGTGGGCCAGGCGTGGTGGCTCACGCCTGTAATCCCAGCACTTTGGGAGGCCAAGGTGGGTGGATCACCTGAGGTCTGGAGTTCAAGACCAGCCTGGGCAACATGGTAAAGCCTGTCTCTACTAAAAATACAACAATTAGCCGGGCGTGGTGGTGCTCGCCTGTAATCTCAGCTACTTAGGAGGCTAAGGCAGGAGAATCGCTTGAACTCGGGAGGCAGAGGTTGCGGTGAGCCAAGATTATGCCATTACACTCCAGCCTGGCCAACCTAGCGAGACTCCCTCTCAAAAAAAAAAAAAAAAAAAAAAAAAAAATTAGTGTCTGACCTGAATTTTAATCATCTTTACACCGGATGGGTCTTTTTTCCCTGATATTTGTAATGCATCATTAATTTTAAGGAATTTAACTGCTGTAAATTCAGCAAGTAGGTTTCCTTTCTGCCATGGGAGGGTGCCTGGTGCCTGCCTTTGGGAAGGCACCCTGTCTGCTGAGAAGCCCTTCATGTTCCAGAGAGGTGGAAACTCCCTGGGAGAGATGGACAGATGCGGGGAGCCCAGAGAATGGGGAGGCCAGTTCTGCCAGACGGATGATCAGGAATTTGGGGTGGGACAGGGAGAGGCCCCAGACCTGAAGGCGCATGGCCAGTCAGGTTAGAGGAGGTGTTGAAATACCTGTGCTTAGATAAGGTTAAAGAATGTATGGCGTTTATGAAGGTCTCAGATCCATGCTGTCGCATTTGAAATTGACTCTGTAGCAAATGAGGAGCCCATTATGGGTTTTCAGGTGGCAAGGGGGTACTTGGGTTGGGTTCTAAATAGATCACTGGTGGCTCGTGCTCAAAACTCAAGGAAGGTGAAAATAGGGAGGGGAAAATAGGAAGGCCCCTTCTTCATCAGGTGAGACAATGTCTCAGCACTAAACAGGGCTGCAGCACTGGGGGCTGGACATGGGGAGAGAGGGTTCTAGAGACTTCCAAGGAAAGCAGCCACACTTGGTAGTGGAAGGGATGAGGGAGAGTCAAGGGTTTCACCCTTCATGTCTTTGCTTGTGAGTCGTCCGAGCGGGTTCCCAGTCATATTTTCTATGTTTAAGCTTAGCCCTTTCCAGACTCAGCGGATGAGAATTGTCCTGGGGGAGCCACAGTGATTTAGATTGCCTTAGGTTTGGCCTTTAGGAGTCTTCGTGCGATGGGCATTGGCTCACTGATCCCATGAGCCAGTGGCTGCAGAGTCCGGTGCAGATGTCTGCGTTGAGCCTGTGATGGTGGTGGTTGTACAAACGGTCCAGCTCCTGAGACTCACCTCACTCAGTCCTCCTGCCAGCTCAGCGGACTTGCTTACTCCATGCTCCATTTTGCAAGGAAGGACGCTGATGTCATAACCTGCCATCGTGCCATCAAGGGGGAGAGTTAGGACTGGGTGCAGGCCCATGGGACCATATGGTGCCCTTTTAACCAGCCAGGTCTTCAAAAGGGAAGATTGACTTTGGGTCTGAAGTTAGCCAATTCGTGAGGAACTGAGCTTGGAAGAAGTCTGACGATGTGGACTCTTTGTAAATCATGGCCTTTTGTGCAATGCAGATTTAAAATCTATCACTATATACACATCTACCAAATCCGTTACAAGTTCCCTACCCATGGTGTCAGATGTCTTTAAAGGTGAAATTCGTTTATAAAAAGTGTCATCCTGATGAAGTGTGCTTTTTAAAATCGTAGAAACGGTTGCCTTAAAATTAATGATGCATTGCAAATATCCGGGAAAAAAGACCCATCCAGTGTAAAGATGATTAAAATTCAGGTCAGAAGTCTGA